ATTCCTCTGCGTGTCACCGTCATCAGCCAGTTTACACACACGCATCTACCCTCGGGATGCTCTTTCTTCACACATTTGTAGCACGAACCAGACTTTATTGCTTTCTTTCTTTGCTTCACTTATATCTTGCTTTTCTCCCCAGCGGGAACCCTAAGAGGCTTATGTTCTCTCCACAACACCCCTGTGAGGTAGATGAGAGAGGAAATGAAGAGGAGGAGGAGATTGGATTTATACCCCAACCTTCACTACCAGAAGGAGTCTCAGAGCAGCTTACAATCTCCTTCCCCTTCCCCTCCTCACAACAGACACCCTGTGAGGTAGGTGGGGCTGAGAGAGCTCTTTCGAGGACTGCTCTTGAGAGAACAGCTCTCAGATAACTTGCGACTGACCCAAGGTCACCCAGCTGGTTGCATGTGGAGGAGTGGAGAATCAAACCCGGTTCTCCCAGATTAGACTCCACGCAGTTAACCACTACACCAAACTGGAGGAGGATGAGGAGATTGGATTTATGTCCCGCCCTTCACTACCCGAAGGAGTCTCAGAGTGGTTTACAATCTCCTTCCCTGTCCCCTCCCCAGAACAGACACCCTGTGAGGTAGATGGGGCTGAGAGAGCTCTTTCGAGGACTGCCTTTGAGAGAACAGCTCTGAGAGAACTTGTGACTGACCCAAGGTCACCCAGCTGGCTGCACGTGGAGGAGTGGAGAATCAAACCCGGTTCTCCCAGAGTAGAGTCTGTGCTCTTAGCCAATACACCAAACTGGCTGGTGCGACTGGCCCAGGGTCACCTGTAGACTGACTCTGTGTGATGGAACCCAACACAAGCTTACATGTGGCAAGTTCAGGGGTCCTCAACATGGTGCCCCCACATGTGTGGGGGGTAAGTGGGGCTTTTGCCCAGCAAGGCTTCTGATTGGCTGTTGGAGATTTGATCAGCTGTGCAGATATTTACAAACATTACTCTGGCAGCAGCTACCAGTACAGTACAGGATCTCCACTGTGGAACTGAACGTAAGTGGTGGCAGCCATTTTGTGGCTGCACCCATCATGCCGAGTCAGAATTCCAAAGGTGCCCCCAGGGTCAAAAAGGTTCGGATCCCCTGGGCTACTCAGTAGTAAGTGAGTGAACATTACTCTGCCCTGTTTGACTATCCAACAACCCAATGAAACAACACTGTATAACTCCCTCTCGACTACCATGTCCTCGGCTGTCGATGTGGGGATTCGAACCCAAGCCTCCATTTTTATTTACTTTCTTTATAGAAGAAGAAGAAGAGATTGGATTTATACCCCGCCCTTCACTAGCCAAAGGTGTCTCAGAGCGGCTTACAAACTCCTCTCCCTTCCCCTCCCCACCACAGACACCCTGTGAGGTAGGTGGGGCTGAGAGAGCTCTGACAGAAACTACCCTTTTTCAAGGACAGCTCTTATCAGAGCTACGGGTTGCCCAAGGTCATCCAGCCAGGTGCAAGTGGAGGAGTGGGGAATCAAACCCGGTTCTCCCAGATTAGGGTCCGCGCACTTAACCACTACACCAAACTGGCTCTCTTATACCCCACCTCACTCCCCGTTGGGGAACCCAAAGCGGCTTACGTAGTCCTCCTCACCTTAGGCTGAGAGTGTGTAGCTGGCCCACGGTCACAGGGCAAGCTTCCATGGCAGAACCTGGGTCTCTTCGATCCTAGCCTGAAACTCTAACCGCTACACCATGCCGGGTGTCTCCATGGGTCTTGATTAAAGTAGCCAGGTCCAGGTTAGGAAACACCTGGCGACTTGGGGGCGGAGCCTGAGGAGGGTGGGGTTTGGGGAGGGGTGGGGCTTCCGTGGGGTGTGATGCCATAGACTCCACCCTCCAGAGGAGCCATTTTCTCCAGGGGAACTGGTCTAATAGTGGGAGATCTCTAGCCACGGCCTGGCGGATGGCAACCCTTGTACGGATCCATTGCATCTGCATCACTGATTGATTGACTGAGTCGCTTAATAGGCTGCCCTTCCCACGAATGGGCACAGGGCGGCTCACGGCAATAAATAATCCATTTTAAAAAATAATGCCATCAAATAATACCATAAACCCAATTTAAAAACATTTAAAGCCAGTCTGGTGTCGTGGTTAAGTGCGGGGACTCTAATCTGGGAGAACCGGGTTTGATTCCCCACGTCTCCACTTGCAGCTGCTGGATGACCTTGGGCAAGCCACAGTTCTGTCAGAGCTGTTCTTGAAAAAGAGCAGTTTCTGTCAAGAGATCTCTCAGCCCTGCCTACCACACAGGGTGTCTGTTGTGGGGAGGGGAAGGAGTTTGTAAGCCGCTCTGAGACTCCCTTGGGTAGTGAAGGGCAAAGTATAAATCCAATCTCTTCTTCTTCTTCTAAAGTGGGCAGCGCAATACATTAAAACCCAGTTCCTACAGCCAGGAAATAAATAAATTCCAAACCTACAACAGAAGCCAATTTCTTTTAGCAGAGAGAGCATTTTACCAGAAGAAGAGGAAGAGGACGAAAACGACGAGGAGGACGAGGAGGAGGAGGATGATATTGGATTTATACCCCACCCTTCACTCGGAGTCTCAGAGTGGCTGCCAATCGCCTTCCCTTCCCCTTCCCACAACAGACACCCTGTGAGGTAGGTGGGGCTGAGAGAGCTCTTTCGAGGACTGCCTTTGAGAGAACAGCTCTGAGAGAACTTGTGACTGACCCAAGGTCACCCAACTGGCTGCATGTGGAGGAGTAGGAAATCAAACCCAGTTCTCCCAGATTAGAGTCTGCCACTCTTAACCATGACACCAAATAAGGCCTAGGACTTAGTTTTTTTTGCAGACTTTTTAATCTATTTTGGGCCATTCTGGCCGGTTAGAGCGGCGACAAAGCCGAGAAAGGAACGTCCCGTCCCGTCCCTTCCTCCTCCGCCTTCACCGGAGCTTCAGTGGGTCCTGCCCCGAAGTTCACTCCTTGCCCGAGACTCTTCATTTCCCATCGCAGGGACTTCCTCTCCCTATCGGCCACCTCGGTGACACAACCCGGGCTGGCTCTGGAGCTATTAATAGCCAGAAAGGGAAATGCTGAAGAATAGCTTCGGAAACGGAGGGTGAGACGGGCTACGTTCGGCCGGGTGGGTCCCACCAAGCCCTCGTGCGGTGCCCCTGGCACAGAGCCACAGTAGCAAAGGAGAAAGGCGGGGAAGAGGGACTCGGTTGAACACGAGGGTGTCAGCGTCTGACTGGGGATCCTGGTTCCCCTTGGCAGCCTTTTCCTGATTAAGTGGGGGCAAAGGGGGTTAATTGCCTCAAAGGGAGTCGGAAATCCCACCGGGGCTTTCAGGGCAAGAGGATGGTTCCGCTATGGGAAGGGCTGTGGCTCAGTGGCAGAACCTCTGCTTGGCATGTAGAAGGTCCCATGTTCAATCCCCGCCATCTCCAGTGTAAAAGGACCAGATGGGAGATGAGGGGAAAGACGTCTGTCCGAGATGCTGGAGAGCCATGAAGTGGGGCTCTGGCTCAGCGGCAGAGCCTCTGTTTGGCACGCAGAAGGTCCCAGGTTCAGTCCCCAGCACCTCCAGTTAAAAGGACCAGATGGGAGGTGAGGGAAAAGACTTCTGCCTGAGACCCTGGAGAGCCATGAAGTGGGGCTCTGGCTCAGCGGCAGAGCCTCTGCTTGGCACGCAGAAGGTCCCAGGTTCAGTCCCCGGCATCTCCAGCTAAAAAGGACCAGATGGGAGGTGATGGGAAAGACTTCTCAGCCTGTGACCCTGGTGAGCTGCGGAGAGGGGCTGTGGCTCAGTGGTAGAGCCTCTGCTTGGCATGCAGAAGGTCCCAGGTTCAATCCCCGACATCTCCAGTTAGAAAAGGACCAGGCAGGAGGTGATGGGAAAGACCTCCGCCTGAGACCTTGGTGAGCTGTGAAGAGGGGCCGTGGCTCAGTGGTAGAGCCTCTGCTTGGCGTGCAGAAGATTCCAGGTTCAATCCCCGGCACCTCCAGTTAAAAAGGACCAGATGGGAGGTGAGGGAAAAGACTTCTGTCTGAGACCCTGGAGAGCCATGAAGTGGGGCTGTGGCTCAGTGGCAGAGCCTCTGCTTGGCACGCAGAAGGTCCCAGGTTCAGTCCCCGGCATCGCCAGTGAAAAAGGACCAGATGGGAGGTGATGGGAAAGACTTCTGCCTGAGACCTCGGAGAGGCATTTGGTGATGGGGAAGACCTTGGCCTGAGATCCTGGAGAGCCGCTGCCAGTCTGAGTAGACAAGACTGACTTTGATGGACCGAGGGTCTGACTCAGTAGAAGGCAGCTTCGTGTGTTCATGTATGAGAGGCAATAGCTGGGGATAAGAGCTGGTAGAGCCAACTCCAGCTGTGGGAATTCTGGGGATGGGGGGGGGGGGGCTGGTTGCTGCAGAAGGCAGAGTTTGGGGAGGGGAGAAACCTGAGCCAGGGCTCTTTCTGTAGCAGGTACTCATTTGCATATTAAGCGACACACCCCGAATGTAGCCAATCCTCCAAGAGTTTACAGTAGTCCCCTGTAAGAAGAGCTCTGTAAGCTCTTGGAGGATTGGCTACACTAGGGGTGTGTGGCCTAATATGCAAAGGAGTTCCTGCTACAGAAAGAGCCCTGGAAACCTCTATGGGATGTAATATGCCAGAGAGCCCACTCTCCAAAGGAGCCATGGAA